CTAGTTTACCTAAACATGAAGAAGAAAAGTGGCAACGGGTTATTTGTTTGAAAGTATTGATTGCTGCTTTACTGTACAATCAGTGAGTTGCCAACCCACTGCAAAAGAAAAAGTCGATCAGATTTTGGAAAAACTTTTTCAGTAAACGAGGTAGTTTGAATGAGTAAGATAAATGTATTTTTAACCGTAAGGGCGACGACACACTTAGGTGTATAGTGTGAGTATAGTGGTGAGGCGCTATCACCACTTCTGCGGAACTAAACTATAAACAGGGGGTATGCGGATGATGGCTGTACATTGCCATGATAAAACCTATCCTCTGCTATGGAGCAATTATTGCCTGGTGGCCTTGAATTTGCTCTCCACAACTGTAGACCTTCTTAAGAGGCTTCTATACCAGCGCAAAAACCCTATGTAAAAGTGTTTCGCGCCGTGTCTGTTTATTCTTAAACGAAATATAATATTGCTAAAATTCAGTGACTATGATGTTTATAAAGGTGAGATCTGGGATTGTATCGAATTGTATTTTAAATAGTAACTTTAAATCATAAGATACAGTACAGAGCGATAAAGAATTGCTATTTTAGACAATATTCAAAGGGTCGTAGATCTTAAACAAAAAAAAATAGTAGCAAAACAAATTCGATACAATCCTAGCTTTAACCTTCCTTTGGCAAAATCCATTCACAGTAACTGAAAAAAGTTTATTATGTACCAGTAAACAGACACGGCCCGGGACGCTGCAACTGTAAAATTCTAGCAAAATTTTATTAGGAAAGTGCTGCCACGTCTTGTGGAATTCGAACTTAAGTTACATGTTACCGCCCATTTGATAAAAGGAGGAGTTCATTCTTATCTTTCCAACATAATTTTAAATCTACCGGAGTTAGTTAGCAAAATAATTTTCTTTGAGTTTTAACTAGAACCCTTTAGGAAAGTAGGCACTGTAGAAGTATACTAATACGTACAACAATGGAAGTACGACATTCCTATCTCTGTGAATAGACGCTATAATGCAACAAAATATTATCCCTGATTATCCGTCTGTCTGTCCGTTCATTTGTCTGTCTACGCACAGTAAAGCCTTGCTCTTAGATCACCTATCGATTGCAGGTTGTCGCTGTACCATTGCTTAGGCTGCGTTTAGTTGTGCGAAGTACCAAAACCATTTGTGAAATTAAAATATAGGTTGTAAATGTAATCAAAAAAAAGAACGAAAAACAAATCCTATTAAGATATACAGGCTGTTGCATTCAAAAAATGCCAATTTTGGGACAAATCTCAGAAACTGTGTCCCAAAAATTTGCTGTGGGTAACACAGATACCACCCGCACACCTGTACATGCGCGATTCTGCCTTTTTTGGATTTGGATCCAGTCGGTTCAGCCGTTTAGCCGGAAACGAGGCCGGAAATGAGAATTTGACACACTTGCGCATGCGGGATTCTGTCCAAAAGATTTTCAGTTCTTCCTTTTATGTTTATGAATAGGTATACGGCAGGCATGTCAAACTCATTTATCATCAAGGGCCATTATAAAGTTTCCACTTATAGCTGCGGACGAGGCTGCGGACATCATAAAAAGTCCACATAAAAAAATTTTGATTTTTTATTATTAACAAAAAAGTAAGCATACAAAATAATACAAAAAACGAAAAAATGCAAATATGTAAACATAAAATCATTAATACGTACTCAAGAAAATGTACCGTGTGTCCTATGTTGGTTAAGACTGCAGTGTATTTCAGCTGCTTTTAAAGATAAGAGACTTGTGGTTTTCGCGACCCTGTGCCACTTTTTTGTGAAACAATACCACAAACAGAATCGATACGTTTGTTTCTGAGGTCTGAGATATAGGGTGAATGTGAAAAATTGGACTTTTTGTGATGTTGTCATATCTGGCTACCCATGTAAGATAGAAAAAAAGTAAAAACTGCCTATCTTAGGTATTTTTACGTAGAAACCAGTGACGTAGTAAAAAAAATTTTGACAACAGTTTCTGAGATTTGACCCAAATGTGATATTTTTTAAATGCAACACCTTGTATTGTATGTTTACATCAATTTTGTTGCATTCTTTTTCGAGATTACATTAATGTATCATTCTATATTTATTTACCATTTTTCAAAATTTTGAAATGTCGTGTACCGTCAGCCATTTTTGTTGATTGGCATCGACTGCTGTACTTACAATAGAGACAATAAACAAAACAAAATCTCCATTTATTTATTTATTATTTCCTACTATTTAAAGAAGTAAAAAATAAGGTTTTTATGGTTTCAACGCTAAAATTAAAAAAAAAATAAGTTGTGATACATCAATGTAATCAGGAAAAGGAATGATAAGAAATTGACGTTAAGATATACATAGTGTTGCATTTACTCAATACCAACTTTGGGTCAAATCTCAGAAACTTTTCGTTTTCACCTTGTATCTCAGAATCTAACGCAGCTAGATTGGCTTTGTTTGTGGTATTATGCGTTTCACTTTAAAAACAGCTGAGATACACTGCAGTCTCAACCAAAATAGGACACACGGTAGGTACAATTAAATTTTATAATTTACAAAAATCGTGATGGGCCGCAGGTTTCAGAAGGGGGGGGGGCCGCATGTGGCCCGCGGCCCGCGTATTTGACATGCCTGGTGTACCAAATTTGGTTCTAATCGGTTCAGGCGTTTCGCCGGAAATGAGCGTACAGACGGACATAATCAAGATCTTGGTTGAATCGGATTCCTGGTGCTTCAAAACGTGTATTTTCGTCAAAAGTGGGGGATCATTTTTTACCCCAATGCCCTTACACGTGCGGGTGGTAAAAACAGCAATCAGTTTGGTCAGTATTACGATTTACGAAAGTTACATAAGTAACAAACTAATTAATTGTTTATCCACCTGATGTGCCGACACGACACCCCTTCACTACCGAGGAAAATTAGTCTTAGTACTCCTAGATCAGTTTGCCATTTTTGCTTACGGATTTTGTTACCTCTTTCATATGTGGCCTCAGCTCACCTTTTCTTTTCTACAGTCACCCATTGTTCTAGTCAAGGAAAATGCGTCGCCGTGAATAGGTATACTAGAGTCTAGACCGATTAATTGGCGTTGATTGACGGATTTCAATCGATGCTGATTATAGCAATAACACCTATTTTAGGTGTTGTTTCATGTTTGAGTTGTTGATTATAGTGAATCTCAATATTGTGTGCGCGGAACGGAAAGGGAAAGATGCGTATCTACATACGAAAATGTACGGAGGGAAACGATATTGCGAATTGTAGTACCGCCTCCTCCGTACTCTAAATCTACACCCCGCAGGCCCCTGAGAAACTAAGCGACGGGTATAGAAGCCTCTTAACCATGTGCAAAGACTTGCGTACCTTGCTTGCACGAGCGCGATGCGAACAACTCCCACAGCCGCCATGGAGACGCTTCTGGGTCTGCCTCCACTAGATCTCCACGTGAGAGAACAGGCGATTCTGGCATCCTTGCGTCTGAAAAATAAGGGGTTGTTGAATAGCATAGGTATTGGGGTGGGCCACTGTCGAATTCTGGGACAGGCGATTAAGCGATTGCCTATTCTAAAAGGGCGATCTGACAAACCCACTCCTCAATTCATATTAGGGAAAAACTACCACATCTATCTTGATGAGTATGTAGCATCACAACCAGACATACCTATATATCTTCGCGGATGGATCTAAAACAATGGAAGGAACAGGCAATGGTGTCATCATCCAACCACTAGGCAAACTTCCTTCTGTATTCCAATCAAAGTTGGTAGGATTAACGTACAGTGCGAGAAAAGTTCTTATGTATAACAACAACCACAAAGCTATCAGAATTTCCAGTGAGAACAGGGCTGCCCTGCGGGCACTTGGTCACTGTAAAATTACCTCTAGGTTGGTTCAATGCCACCATGCACTAGAGCAAGTAGCAAGCAGCAACACCCTTGAGCTCGCATGGGTCAAAGAGTATCCTGCAATGGAAGGTAATAACAAAGCCGATGAGTTGGCCCGACTGGCCTTAAAACTTTCACTTACAGCTGCAACTATTAACAACTTAATAACTCAAGACACTCAAGCCCAGCACAGGGCTAGTTGGAACATGACATGGGTGGTTATTGATGAACAAGCACAAAATTGGTTTTATTTTAATTTGTATTTCCATAGTAATTTTTCCATTTTCTAAGTGTTTGTAATTGTGTAATTATTCAATTCAATTCTATCCTGCAGTGGGAGCACTTTATATGATTTGTTTTGTTATTCGGAGGTTCCTCTAAATTAATCCTCTACACCTCATTACTATTATTATCAGTAGGTACTTGCAGTTTCAAGAACTGTCGTATTTTATTCAATGTCTCTTTTGCCTGCTCTCCATCTTTCCTATCCAAAGTTGAGCCCCAAATGTTCCTTCTCTTTTAATATTAAGTTTGTAACCCTTAACAATTTTTTTCCTACGCCACTGGTTTCTGGATAATCTTTATATTCTCTTCTTAACCTAATGACACTACTTTACGCACAGCTAGTACAACAGTGGAAGTTGTTTACGGGACGTTCATTTCGAAATTAAGCGGTATACTTTCCGATTCCGATATTTCTATAAATCCCGGTTAACCATTAGTTTTATTATTCAATCCTAGATGACCGTTAATACCAGAACAGAAAAAGTAGCCACAGTGAATAAACAATAAAATTCATCAATTTTGTACACTTAGGTATTCCCTGGGGTATTCCCTTTTATCTCTGTAATTCTCAGATCAAAATTAAAAGGATAGTGCGCGTGTCATAAAAGGCTTATTCAATCCCTCTTTTTAATTAATAATCCGATAACGGTGGAAATTCACCGCAGTCTCAATAACCTCTGGTGAGAAAATGAAGGAAGTAATCCAAGGTTTGTTTATTTTGACATAGTTGTACTGTATACATTGTCAGTTGTATTATAGCTTCCATTTTATAATAACATGTAACCAAAATTAATCCATAAAGAAGGGTATTATAAACTTACCAAGATGTTCTCTGTTTTTATCTCCAACGACGCGGTTCTCATTCGAATCGCCTCGTTCGTGTCTCTCTCCCCACGTTCTACCTAAACATTCCAAATTATCATAACTTGCCGGCAATTTTACATATGCATAAAAGAATAAGAGCTATCCTAAAAAATTTCGTACCTCCATTTACTTTAATCTACAAATTACTTCAGACGTAACGATCAATATAAAAATGTTTCATACCTCCGAGCACTTACTATAATGGCCAACAAAGTAAAATTACTCTTCTGCGCGATCGTGAAAGATCTAAATACAACTTTGTGGCACACAGATGACCGAATAACATAATTCAACGCGTATACCGGAGATACAAATGTAATTGCTTAAATATTAAAACGCAAAAGTCACCTAAGGTTTATGATATTCGAAGCGGAAAACCGGTATAATAAAACCATTATTTTAATAATTTTGAATAAATATGTATGGGGGTTTACCTTTCTTCCTAGACGCTACGGTAAGAAACTGAGTTGTTGTGCGTATAGTCGTTGGAGCCGGAATTTCTGAAATGAAATTAGTACACATGAAATTTCCATACATCTACTAATATCACTAAAATACAATGATAATAACCCACCCTCCAACTTGATAACACCATCCGTTTCCCCGAGAGAGTTTTTGGCGACGCATTTGTACGATCCGAAATCCGACACGCTCACGCTTCGTATTTTCAGCATCATGTATTTTTTGTATCCACTTTCCATTGAGACTGCTTCGTACTTATCACCTGTGCGAATAATTAACTGTTAGTGGATACATGGGCTGATACCAAGGTATCTGTCGGCTGTGGCTTTGTAAAACATCAAACAGTTGCAACCTCAAATTTCAAAGCATAATAATATTTTAGTACACGATGAAAACAAACAAAGCTTTTAATAAAAAGCTTATGAAGCTCTAAAAATATCTTCATTTCGCGATCATATAGCCAGAAGCTGTCCTAAACAATAAACCACCCCATTATCTATGGAAAATGAATAGCAAATATAAATATCTATACAATACTAGTGAAATATAAATCAAAGCATGTACAAGCTAAACGATTTTTACATAATTTTAACTGTTCTGATAGTTTCGTCAAATACATTCCGTAGTTTATCTTCTTTATGAATTAAATGTTTAAGAAAAATTTGCAGACTTGTCGTGATACTATAATTTCCAACAAACGTCAGTTTCAGATGCAGAAGACTTTCCATCACCATTACCCACGTTCAAAGGTTCCATGTATTCAAAGATTTATTCGATGAATTCAATTCAATCGGCTTTTTGATTGATTGATCAACAAAACCAAATAACTTACGGCATTTGTTGTTAAATGTAAAAGGCCGATTCAGAGTTCCGTAACGGTAAGCGGTAAGAGGTAACGATAAGAAATAAGAAAAATAAACATTCAAACTGTAATGGTGACATTCAGAGTTTTTCCGTAAGACGCAAAACGTAAGTAGTAAGAGGTAAGAAATGGATTATTTCATTTCATACCTTATCTCTTACGGAATCATGTTTTGTTTATTAAGATGAGAAGGTTAAACATTTGTGTTGAAGGTATATTAACACTAAAAGCGCTATGATTATGATGTCACTATCCATATTCGTTTACCTACGTCTATGAAAAGCAAAATAACCTTTGGTACTAAAATCTCATACGTCAGTTTGACAACATATGACGCAAACGGTCTTCCGTTACCTCTTACGGATTTACGTTACCACTTATTTCTTATTTCGTACCTTATACCGTTACGGAACTGTTCAAAAATATCGAACAAGATTTACCCTAACGATGACACACTTTTAATACAGTATTTTGTAACTTGGTATTGTGTTTTAGGTAACTTAGTCCGCATATGGTAGATTTGTATATCTGATTATTTGTAGCTGAATTATGCTGACAAATCATATTAAGGTGATAACAAAGAATATAGGAAACCATTCCTACAATAACACCGCATAATTATATTAATGATGAAAAATACAACAAACTGCAAAAGAAGAAAACTCTTCTTTTTTAGCGCCGCTTTCCAAAACAATTACCTCCGTTCAGTGAGGCATTTCATAAGCCATTCAATGCTTTGGGGTAAATGGTTTAATTTTTCGATATAGATCTAAAGGAGTGGGTATATTTTCTTCAATTTCATAAACGGGTTCATTGTCTGGAGGTTGAAAAACTGTGGTTAGATGCTCTCCGAATAGGTTAGCGTTAGACTTTTCTTTATCACTCTTCACCCAAGGTTCCGCATTATTTTTCCTTATTGGTGGTACATTTAGTTTAGGCCTCCTGGAGTTTTTGATTGGTTTCCATATAGAATTATCAGTTCTAGTTAGTTTGGATATAAATTCTTCGAATTGTTCATTTCTTACTTCTCTGAGTGTTGCTTTTAACCTACTACATAAGCGATTGTACACATTTTTATCGGCGGGTGTGTGGCTTCGTTGCCAATTTGCTCTAGCACGTCTCTTCTCTGCAATCATTCTTTTAATTTCTGGTGGTATATGTCCTTATTTAATTTCTTTTGAGGAACTTTTGGTGTCTCTTGCTCTACAGCTTGTTATACTCGTAGATTTGTTTTAGTAGCTATTTTTATTTATTCAGGCTGTTTTAGTCGAATTTTTAGGTATGTTTTCACTTAGTGCCTTACGATAAGCATCGCAGTTTGTTCTGTGTGGAGTTTTTGGGTATAACAGATGTGCATCCTGTTATTAAACTACCATTATATTGAATTAAAATAGGGGAATGGTCAGATGATAAGTTAGATACCTAATCCTACTACTGCAACAACACAGGAAATTAATGTAAATACTTCTACATCTCCTCAAACTCCGATACAAATGCAGATTTTTACTTTTTGGTGTACTGAATCATAGTTATTAGCAGTTTGTTATGTGAACTAGGATGGCTTATACTTCCGGAAGGAATCATCTAGCGGAAAATAGACTTTTTACTCGGAAACTAATGCGGAATCACGTAGTGAAGAGTTTTGTTGCTCGAAAAGACACACCCTGTATATCTATTCGGTTTTGGGTACTGTGTGCTACCTCGTTTTGCTCCATGCTATGGATTGATTAGGGCGAACCTGTTTTAATTTTCAACCGATTTAGGTACTTTATTACGTACCGTATAAAAACGTGTTATGAATTTAATGTAATATTTGATTTGTTTCACGTAGTGTAGTATTGGAGCCCAGGCAACCTATTACTTTCGGTTAAATTTGTTAGTAAGATAGTACTGTAGAAATTTTAACAGTTTTGGTAAGATTTTTTAATTGTGTTGCGAATTTTAGCTAATATCAATGTTTGAAGACCCAAAAAAGTTACTTAGAGACCTCAAATCTCGCAGCCAAACTTCACTTTTTTATTTCGATTCTTTCGACTGTGCTGTCGGGAATCGGGATGTAAGCATATATTACAGACGTTGTTTACAAAGTAATCGGTTAACAACAAAAACCAAATAATTTCACCGACAAGAGTCCATTTCGATTATATTTTTTATTTTCTCGCTATAGTTTTGGGTAGACGCTTTTAAATTATTTTATTTTTCATTTGTCTATTATATGCCAATTATATCTGTCATATGATATATATAAAGCAGTCCATAACGTCCTTAGGTTAACTCCACATCTGCTGATAGCACCGGGTCACGAAGGAGATATTACCATCGAGAATCGACTCTTATATGGGACAACTTCCGTAACTTTAGCGTCTTGCTTGATAACTATTTTGCCCCTTCAGGGTTAGATGGGAATATATTTAAGTAATATGTGAACATAAGTACAAGCTCAGTATCTTTGTCATGTTATGATCGAGTTTGAAACAGAGTTGGACTGGGTCACTGGGTCAACTGGGTCACCTGGGTCACTAAATTAAACTGGGTCACTGGGTCACGTCCTACTCTTTTCAGTTAGGCCCAGTGACCCAGTTTGACCCAGTCCCAGTTTGACCCAGTGACCCAACTTGACCCAGTTTGACCCAGTGACCCAGTTTGACCCAGCGACCCAATTTCACCCGGAGACCCAATTCGACCCAGTCACCTAGTTTGATCGAATAACGCAGTTAAGTCAGTGCCCTCGGTTCAAGTGTACAGATTATGAAATAAATGAAATGCTGGTTTGTTGAAAATAATACTCGATTGCTTGACAACTGCCATTTCTGTGATGTTTGCTTTAATACTGCCGTAAAAAGCTTTCCATGTCCCGAATTGTATTAGAATAATGTTATTTCTTTGCTTCAGGGCTTACCAATTTGCTTACAGGTGTTCATTCACATTTAATTTTTTTCTACTAGTTAGCTTAATCCAAATAAATCTTTTTTCTAAATACTTTCATTGACTGCTTGACTACAAACTATAAACAAATGCATTTGATTTTTTTAGGTATTAGTTCTCTTGAATGAAATTGGGCTACGTGCTTGTTGCCGAATATTATTGAGGAAGTTTTTTTTTAAATTAAAAGTTACTTGAAATTGTTTTGGATGATACCTAACAATAATTTAATTACTGGGCCACCGGGTCAGGACGGGTCACTGAGTAAATGGGTCACTGGGTCAAGCTGGGTCACCGGGTCAAGCTGGGTCACCGGGTCAAACTGGGTCAAGCTGGGTCACCGGATCAAGCTGGGTCACTGGGTCAAACTGGGTCACCGGGTCAAGCTGGGTCACTGGGTCAAACTGGGTCACCGGGTCAAGCTGGGTCACCGGGTCAAACTGGGTCACCGGGTCAACTGGGTCACCGGGTCACTGGGTCACTGGGTCAGTAAACTAACTGGGTCACCGGGTCACTGGGTCACTCTATGCTTGACCCAGTCCAACTCTGGTTTGAAACGCGAATGTTGTTGCAGACCATCGTTTCCTTCTGGAGGAGGTGGCCTATTTAGTATAGATGCATCTTACGAGTAGAATTTTTATGGATTGAACTTTATTCAATTAGCAGATAAAGCAACAAAATTGCCTGGTTTATGCATACATGGTTTTAATTATTAATATAACTTCAGTGAATGGAAAATAAATTGAATTCTTTCCTTTTTATATGAGCTAGCCTGGAAGTCGTAGGACGGTAGGACGAAATTTGCATAAAGAATTGAATAAATAGAGCCACAAACCTGAGGTCTTTATCAATAATTTCAACTGCTTTTTCAAATTTACATTTCCCCTTAATTGTTATCTTTAGCTTACTGCAACATTGAAAAATGTTTTAACGATTTATTTTATCAGCCTAACGATGACGTACCTACTGTCGCAATATGCAGCTATCAACACGACCTTTTTAAATAATAGCTGAGTATGGGAGAGATCTAGAGTCTTTACAATTCTATTTAACCAGGTACATTTTTTCCAGATAACTGTTCACGGACCTCTTTTTCCGCTATTGGATCTTTTCTGTGTCGCCGTTTTTAAATAACGAGCTGTTGATTTCCTTTCCACAATCGAAACTAAAAGTCATTATCGTTATACAGGGTTTCTCAAACTTAATTGTTCCACGTACCTCTATTAGACTGTCAAGCCCATGGCGAACCCTGTTAAAAAATACAGACTACAGATAGGCATTTTATTTAAAAAATCATGTTTTAAATTTGGTAAAACAAATAAGGTGTTTTCTTAAAATAAACAAAAGAACTATTTTTAATAAAAAATAAAATAATTTAAAAAATAACATAATTAGCTACTAAAAGGTTTATTTTTCTTTCGGCCTTAGGTGGTGTTGAAGTGAAGGTTTGTAGGGTGAGTAGGTTCAAAAAAATTTGA